TGGTAAAGCTCTGGTGGACTTGGGGCTGCCTGTCATTGAGGAAGAAGGAGTCCCTATGGGTGACAGGTAGAGCATGCTTTGGTGTGTCCCAGACACCCCAAGGCCTGGGGGCAGCGCCTCCATGCCTGTGACCCTAACTTAGGGAATCACTGACGGGCAAGAGGCACTTCTTACCTCTGATGCTTCTAACAGGAAAAGGAAGAGTTGAGATGCCTCTGAGAAACTGTAGCTTAAAGAACTGGCTGCAGGGTTTTCTGGTCCAGACAGCTGCAGGGAGGGCTGGGAGTCCCTGACATGGGCTCTGTTCTCTGCAGGTCCTGTCTCTGGACACCAACATCACAAACCAGGTGAACAAGCTAAACCGAGACCTGCTGCGCCTGGTAGATGTAGGCGAGTTCTCAGAGGAGGCCCAGTTCCGAGACCCCTGCCGTTCCTACGTGCTCCCTGAGGTCATCTGCCACAACTGTAACTTCTGCCGGGACCTGGACCTGTGCAAAGACCCCTCCTTCTCTCAGGTGGGCCGACTCCCTCAGGCCCCTTGCTGGTACAGTCAGAATATCCAGGCCTCAGCGGATCGGGGTTTCCTGCAGGGCCCCCAACCAACTCTGATGTGAGTTAGAAACAAGCGCCCTTTTTCAGGCCACTCAGCTGCCACATGCCAGAACCTTGTCCTGGTAATCACATGGGTGATGACAGTGGAGATGTGAGTGTGCCCTGGAGCTGTGAGCGCGGTGGCACACTTCTCATTGAGAATCCCTCCGTCCCTTCTCAGCACTGGGGACCAAGGAAGGTGACCTGTCCCTTTCCCCGTCTGTCCAGGATGGGACCGTGCTGCCTCAGTGGCTCTGCTCCAACTGTCAGGTTGCCTACGACTCATCAGTCATTGAGATGGCCCTGGTGGAAGCCCTACAGAAGAAGCTGATGGCCTTTACCCTGCAGGACCTGGTGAGCAGCAGGCCTAGTGCTGGGTCTGCAACCAGTCTGCCCACCCCTCCAGTAGCGGGAGGCCTCATCAGTAAACTGTTTGCACCCACAGGAAATGAGAGGTGTGCGCAAGTCTCAGGTTGTAACCTGATCCTCCAAGGTGACGCCTCTTGGGTCAGCCTCATCCACGGGCCCAGCTGACTCTTACAGCATCTGTTGGGCACTACAGGGGCCGATTGCTGGCTTCATGGACCTTTATTCTAGTTGAGGGAGACAGACAGTAAACAAGACAAGAAAGTGATGGTCAGAGTAAAGAACTGACAGGCAGCGTGTGTGTGAAAGAGGGAAGCTTTCAGCCTTCGATGGGGGAGTGAAGACCCAAGGGAGGTGTTGGGGTTCAGGCAGGGAACAGCTGGTGCCTGGTATGATGGATAGGGGACCGCAGACTCAAAGGGAGGTGTCCACAGGGAGGGTGTTGGGAAGCAGTTGACATGTTTGGATAAAGCCCATATGACGTCTCAGATTTTATTTGTAATTGAGGTGAAAAGCCTGTCTGGTGCCAAGCGACTGGCCGGCTCTGGCCTGGGCGGGGAGGCTCTGACCCAGGCTGCTTCTCCTTGCAGGTCTGCCTGAAGTGCCGGGGTGTGAAGGAGACCAACATGGCCGTGTACTGCAGCTGTGCAGGGGGCTTCTCCCTCACCATCCACACTAAGGTGGGGGCTCCCATGGACAGCTGACCCTGCCACCCTCACCTCTCCTCCCTCCCCCACCCGGGCCATTTGTCCTCTCTGAGCTTTGCCCTTGCCTCCCTGTGCCTCCTCTGGGACTAGGTCTCACTATGACTGGTCATTTCTGTAGGTCTTCATGGAACAGATCGGAATCTTCCGGAACATCGCCCAGCACTATGGCATGTCGTACCTCAAGGAGACCCTGGATTGGCTGCAGCTTCAGAACCCCCAAGTGGGCCATTAGCAGTCTGGGCAGTGTCCCCGTTCTCTGCTCCCATGTCCCACACCCAAGATGGGCACCCAGGTGGACTGCCCCTGGGGAGCAGGTCACACAGCCCAGAAGAAGCGTGAACCAGTCAGAGCAAGAAGTGGCTTCACTTCCCAGCTCTCTGGGGTTCCCTGCCTTGAGCAGGGCAGCCCTCTTTAGGCCCAGGAAGTGTCTCCAGCGACGGGGTCCCAGGGCTGGTTTCTCACTGGACACACACACTCTCCTGCTGCTGCACAGCCCTTCCTGTAGCCCCAGCCCTTCCTGCCCCCTCCTTTGCTGCCCTGAGGTGCCCTCGGAGGTCCTCTCTTTGAGCTGAGATCCTGAAGAGGGCTGGGAGCCAGACCCAGGGTGAAGGGGCGCCTGAGCGGAGTGTGCAGCCCCGGCTTCCAGGAGTAGTGCTGTTCTACACTCCACGCTGGAAGCCTGTGGGCTGCATCCCGGGATCCTGACTGAACCCACGGTCACCTGGGCGTCTCTCATACACTGAGTTCTGGGGCTTGGGCTCCTCTGTCTGTAGAGATTCAGGGTCAGAGTGAGGTCTGCTGGACTGTTTATGGCGCAGTCACCTCGTCAACAGCAGCGAGACTGGGCTGGGGGCAGGAAGGCTGAGTAGGGGGCGGGGCTCAGCCACAGGGGCCCGGCACCTCTCCCTCTGCACCTGCTGTGAGGGGACCACCGCAGCAAGAGGCCTGGGGCCCCAGGGGGGCTGAGGCACACCGTTATCGCAGACTTTGACATCATATGTCAGCACCTGGATTCTCGAAAAGCATTTCTTCATGTGCAACACTAGGTTCTTTCCTTCAGCTCTGAGCGGTGCAGGGAAGAGGATGGAGAAAAGGGCAACAGAAATGTTACCACGACTGAGGCCATTGTGTTCTTCTCAGCCTTGGATCAGTCCAAGACCTCTGACCCCAAGGGCCTGCCCAGTCTCTGTCTGCCTTAGGCAAAGAGGGTCACTGGCCTGTGCCGCCTTTAAAAGGTGATACCACCAGCTTGTTCAGAGCCCTGTTGTTGCACAGAGATGTGGGCCGTGCTGTTTTCCCCTCTGGGATGGAGCTGGGTTGGAGAGTCTGCCTGCCAGCAGCCTGGGGAACCCTCTGCTGAGCTGGAGTTGCTCCCTCTGTTCCTCCAGCAACTCCAGAACATAAGACTGACTGCCTGTACCTCATTTTTAACTAAATGCGACTGAAAACAGAAGAAAACCAGTCAGATTGGCAAGGCAGCAAGCACATTAAATGTAAATCATAAACTCAGAAACCCAAACGGGTGGGCAGTGGAAGTCACACTGTTGGCTCTGGAGCCTGGTTTAGATTTGTCCCTGTTACCTAATTTACAATTTGACTTCTACATTTCCTGTAGTCTTTACTGTGTGTGTGCGAGTGCGCGCGTGCTCGTGCCTGGATCTCTGGAAGGAAGGAGGAAAGACTTAGTAGCTGACGTCTGTCCGGCTAGGTTTGTCGGCTGGGTATCGCTATTGCCCAGTGGCACGTCCAGGTCCAGTGACTGCAGGAAACTTGACTCTGCTTGGAAGGTGATGGCGCCCGGCAGCCCCCAGATGAAGAGCAAATCAAATTAGGGCTGGGTGGGGGAGGAGGAAGACTCACCAGCCTTCCTGGAAACGGAGCCAGAGAAGTCCCAGGGGAGCACGGAGGAGTGAGGAGCTGGGGCTGTGTGGCTCACCCCAACCCTGTGCTCCCTGCAGCAGGGCAGGGGCACCACAGCTCCCAGTGGTCCCCTCAGAGGCCAGCTTTGGGGGTGGTGGATGTCCCAGGGTTACTCATGCTGGGGGACAGGAAACCTGAGCCCCTGACCCAAATTCTTGAGCTACAGCCCAGCCCCAACTGGAAAAGCCAGTTTCTCTAAAACTAGAGCTGGAGCTCTGAGCATCTCAGTGGCTCATGGAGCTGACATCACAGGCACAGGAGGATCTGCAAGGGTGAGGGGGGCTTCTTGGGGGGTTGCTGGCTCCAGTGAGTGGTGCTGGTCCAGTCAGCAGGTGGGAAGACCAGCTCTGACCCTGGTTGTGACGGTCACGGGTGGAATGATCTGTGGGAGGCACTGTGCCTCCTCAGACCTGTGCACTGGTCATTGCTGTTGCTGGGGAAACGGAAACCACCATCTGGCCAAGTTGTGTCAGAGCTGCTGAGTGGAATGACCATTGTAGCATCCAAGGACATAACCAGATTATCCATAGGCCTGATGCGGTTAGTGCCGGCTTTCCCAACCTTCCCCTGCTGCTGTGTCCACTCCTGTTCCCCAGCACCCAGTTCCTTCCCTGGCCCCCATCCCCATGTGAAATGGGGTTCTGGGTGGGCATTTGGGCGTCAGCCTAAGCTTTTGTCTTCCTTGGTAACAGTTCTCATTGCCCGCCTCCTGACTTTCTTCCTCTGGACATACCACCCTTTACCCCCTATTTTGAGGTTTGGGGTCTGGGATGATGCCTACAGGAAGCTAAAGGACAGATGTTGGGATGCACTCAGCCTGTGTGTCACCCACCACTGATCCCCCCATGAGACCTGATTGTAACCTGACTGGATTTGGGGGCAGCAGATGCATCCACACACTGTGCCCAGGCAGGCTAGAGGAAGATGAGGACCAGACACACCCACCACCCGCCATGTGCAGAGACCTGCCATGGTGTGTTTGTCAAGAGGCTCAAGATGCTTCTCCCCCAAAGATGAGGCTAGAAGGTTCTGGTCACAGTTTTATTGGACAGTGGATGTGTGATTTCTTAGCTATGAGGCAAGCAGAGGGTCTGGGTAGGGCTGGGTGGGTGGGCAGGAGCAAAGAGCCTAGGAGGCAGGCAGCTAGGGAGGAGGTGGGGACTTGGCCCTTACAAACCCTTGAGCAGCTGGGGGCTAAGATGGAGCAGGAGGTCGTCCCCTTCATGTCACCCCACGACCTAGCTGCATGGAGACCCTTTGGCTGCTGGTTTTGCTGAGGTGTATGGGTGGGGCCCCTGTCCACGGTCCCAGCTGTGCTGCCCTGGAGAGCATGGGGCTGTCCTGGGGCCTCAGACGTCAGGGGTCCCTGACACGCCCGGGGCCTTAAGTGCAGTGTGGCAGAAGGTGGAAGTAGGCTCAGAGCTGGGCCAAACCTCGGGCATCTGTGAGCACGCACTCCTGTTGGGAAGGCTCGGAAGCGCAAAGCCCTGGTCCCGCACCCCGCTCGGGAGCATCCACCATCTGCTCAGACGGGGCAGAGGTGGAGCAAGGCCATGGGGGTGGGATAGCCCGGGCCTGGCTCTGCCCCTCACCCTGCAGTTGGCCAGCCTGGCCTGGGTCTGTAGAGCAGGGATAGAGTTGGGGAGGGGCCTGGCCCAAGACAAGGGCCAGGGTCACAGGCCAGCTGCCTGAGGAGTGCCTTGGAGTACACACCTTGTCAAATTTCTTATGGCTGTAGACCTTGTTTTTGTTCATGAATGTTAGCAAGATCCAGTCGCAGAGGAAGGAGCCCTGAGGCCAGAAAGACAGATGCATGAGGGCTTGGCACCTGCCCCCATCTCGCCCCACACACCCGTCCCCGACCCTAGCGTGCTTTTCTTACCACCCCGATGGAGGTCAGTGCTGTGGCCAGGTTAATGATGGTGGGAATCAGGCTGAACTTCCCCGCCTGGGGGCAAAGGCACTACCTTAGATAGTCAGGATTGGGGCCCAAGGGAGGCCCAAGGGGTGTGGTAGGGGAGACCAAGACTGGGTCAGCCCAGATCCCATGTAAGCAGGGTGGGCTGGCCTACCTGTCCATGCACGATGACGTCAATTCGGATCCCATAGGCTTTGATGAGTGTGCGGGTGATGCTGCCATTTATTTTGTAGTACTTGGCAAACCTAGGGCAGAATGACCCAGAAGCACATCAGTACCTGAGATGGGATGACCTGGGTGCAAGAGCCCTGGGAAGCATGACAGTGGGGTGCACCCATCACCCAATGGGTTGGCTCCAAGACCACCAACTACTGGTGTCCCAGGGCTTTGGGGGACCTGCCCTGTTGGTTCTTGAACATCCACAGCCAGGGCAAACCAGGACCTAGCATCCAAAGGCCAAGGTACCTGAAGTTGTAGCCGGATGAGGCTGGGATGTGCTTGGGGTCCAGCCTCCGGAAGGAGTATTTGGGGTTGCACTCTGACGCTGAAAGGTCCAGGTCACAGTCCCAGTTGATAATGACCCCAATGACACCACCCTGCCCAGAAGTGGACACAGACAGGTCAGGACAGGCTCACGGACCTTCAACAGCCCTGGGGTCCTACTGAGGTTGCCCATGGGGTGCATACTTGGGCAGCCCAGGGCAGCTCACTGGGGAAGGGGGCTTGTTGAGTGCCCTGCTTCCAAGGCAGGATGGGTGCCAGCAGGCAACTGTGTGACCAAGAGTCAATAATTTAGCAGCAGCCACACACCCAGATGGGTCAGTAGATCTTGTTTCTCTTTCCTCTGCCAGAGCAGGGCCAGGGCTAGCCAAAACTGAAAAGGGACTGGGCTGTAATGAGACCCTTTGTATGCAGGTGACAGCCAGCACCTGGCCAATTGTCCTGCTCACTCTCGGGCACCCTCACCGTGTGTGCCAGCTCTGTGAAGTTTTCCCCTGCCTGCTCCACGATGTAGCCCAGCTTGAAAATGGGGCAGTAGAGGTCAGAGACCTCATGGAACGTGCAGTGCTTCAGGTAGCCATCCTTCCGGTTCTCGATGTTGCCCCTGAGGTCAAGGCCCAGTGGCATCAGATGCTGAGAAGCCATGCTCCCCCAAACAACACATTCCAAGAGGCAGCTCCCGCCCCAGCCCAGCCCTTGTCACCACACCCTAATGGTTCTTACTTGGAGAACTGGAATTTGGGGTAGTGGATGCTGTTCTTGATGAGGATGGTGAAATTGGGGGCCATCGTACCGAGAAATTGGCTGAGGAGGCAGACTGGGCGTGTTTAGTCTCCCTTCCCTTCCAAAGCCTCTCCCAGCCTCCCAGCTGCTCTGTCCTTCCCTTCCCCCTCCCCCAACACATCCCGACTCCCGGTGGGTGAGGAGAAAGGAGCGAAGAAGTTTGGTCCCAGGTGGGTGGGGGTCACCGGGCGCGCACACCTGACTGAGGCCCCGTCTTCCACCGGGCACCAGCCCGACACCTCGCAGGTCTTGGAGGACCCGTGGTAATAAGGTACGCAGCGCCCGGTCCGCACGCCTGCAGGCAGACGCGCGCTCAGGTGGCGAGGGGCGCGGCCCGCCCCCACCCTCAGTTGGCGCACACTGACCGTTTCCCAGCATGTCCAGCTGCCCAGCAACACAGTCTTCGTCCGAGTCGCAGGTGGCGTTGCTGACCCTCATACTCTAGGGAGGAGACCGCTTGCTCAGGAGCCAGACAGGCGCAGCTGACCAGGCAGGGCCCCTCCCTCCCATCCCAGCTCTGCTTTCGACGCAGCCTCACCTCGGCGCATGTTCCGAGGGTCTGGAAGGGGGTGACCTCAATCCTGGTGATGATGCTGAACACGCTGCCCCCCTGGGCTCAGAAAGAAGGGACGGTCGGCCGGCGGGAGGCAGCTCGGTCACCGATCAGTCCCACCCTCGGGGTGCGCGGGGTTCAGGGCGGGGCCCGGGGGTTGCGCACCTCCGGGGGTTTCACGTACTCCTCTACGTCCCACACTTTGTGCTCGGACAAGGTGATGCCCTTGACCTTGGTGATGACGGAGCTCTCGGGGCCCGTTTCGCTGTCCTGGTAGCTCTTCTGCACGATGAACACGTACCTGTGCGGACCGGCAGGGCCGACTCTCGGGACGATCCTGGGACAGGCCTGGGACCTCTCCCATGCCGAATAAGCTCGACTCCGGCGGGAACGAGGCTGTGTCACTGCCTCTCGAGGGCCGGGTAGGCTCTGCAGGAGCCCGAGGGGCCAGCCCGGCAGTCGCCCGCGTTCTCCACCCACTGCGACCCGTTCTCCCTGCTCACAGTCCAGAGCTGCCCCTCCAACCTGGGACGTCCAAGCAGCCCTAGCCGCACTCCCCACCCTCGTGAACCCGCCAGACATCCCCTCCCGCCGGACGCCCCACGCGCCCCCTCCCCGCGTCCGCCCCCGTGCGCACCCACCACACGAAGTAGAGCAGGATGAGCAGCTGCACCGCGCGGTACACGATGCCCAAGCGCCGGTTCTTCACCACGATCACCTTGGGCGTCTCGTAGTCCCAGAACGCGGACCAGCAGCTCCTGGCCAGGCGTCCGGCCGCGGCCGCCCCCACGGGGGGCTTGGGCTCGGCGGCCGCCATGGCCCTGAGCTCGATAGGGCTGGGAACAAGGGCTGGGGGCTCCTGCGCACCGCCTCCTGGGCGTGGCCTCGCGCGCCCCGCCCTATCCCGCCTCTCTCTGCCCCTGATTAGTCCCATAGCAGCCGGGGCGCGGGGCGGAGACGCCCAGCGCACCTGGCAGGTGTCACCAGGTGGGACCCCGAGCCAGCAGAGCCGGGGTCGCGGCAGCCCTCGGCCCCAGCCCGTTCAGAGAGGGCGTGGAAACGGACCAAACCCTCGCGTCCCTCGGAGATCAGACACTTAAGACGCGGGAGGAAGACGCTCGAGCACGGCCCGCCTCCTCGGCTTCTCCACTGGTGTCGAATGCGCAGCGCGCATTAAGCCCGAATAGCAATTTCTTTAAAAATAAATATATGTATATTTCCCCAAATGTTATTGAGATACAATCGGCACGTGAAGTAAAGTTTAAGGTGTACAAGGAGATGATTTACCAAGGGCAACCCTTGATTCGAACCGCGGGTCTCCGCAGCTCGACAAAGACACCCCTGCCTCCAGGGTTCACATAAAAATCTGGATTTCTTTCTTTCCCCAGTCTTCTTGCTTTTATCTACAGACACACCTCAGCGCTGTTCGGTTCTAGCCTCTTCCTCCACCCAAGCGCCCAGCCTCGTTTCTCACATGGATTCCGGCAGTAACTTGACACTCCAGGTTTCTATCGATTTCCGACACTGATGTGTTTTGTTTTTGTTTTTACTTTTTGTATCTCTACCCTCACTTCATTAGTTTGGAACAAATCTCAGATATCATAGTGTTTCACAAATGATAAATGTCACATTTGAGATGAAATTCACGCAGCATTGAATTAACCGTTTTAATGAACAACTTGTTGAAATTTAGTCCATTCACAATTGTTTGCAACTACCATCATCTACTTCCAAAACATTTTCATCATCACCAAATAAAACTCATGCTTAACAAGAACTTCCTATTCCCCTCTCCTCCCACATACTGGCAACCACCAATCTACCTTCTCTCTCTAGGATTTACTTATTTTGGATATTTCAAGTAATGGACTTAGAATATTTGCCTTTTTTGTGTCTGACTTCTTTCATTAGCATAATGATTTCAGAGTGCATCTGGGTTGTAGCCTGTGCCAGTACTCCATTCCCTTTTATTGCGAAATAATATTGTATTGTATGGATATTCCACAATTTATCTATTCACCCACTGATAGATGTTTGAGTTTTTGTATTTATATTCTGTCTAGTGTGACTAGTGCTGCTATGAACATCTGTGTACAAGTATTTGAACACCTACATTCAATTCTTTGGCATATATACCTAGGAGTGGAATTTCTGGGTTTCTCATGGTAATTCTGTTCTGTATTTAACCTTTTAAAAGAACTACCAAAATGTCTCCCAAGCAGCTGGGCCATTTTACATTCCAGTTAGCAATATACAAGGATTCCAATTTCTGCACATTCTTGTAAACACTTGTTATTTTCCACTCACTTTGAATTGCCACCCTACTGGGTGAAATTATATAATTTATTTGGATTAATGTCTGTTCAAGTCCCTTGCCCATTTTTCAGTTGGATTGCCTTTTCATTATTCAGTTGTAAGAATTCTTTATGTATTCTGGATAGTAGACCCCTATCAGATATATGATTTTTCAAATATTTTCTCCCATTATGAATTGTCTTTTCACTTTATTGATGATGACCTTTGATGAACAAAAGTCTTTAATTTTGATGAAGTCCAATTTATCCTTTTTTTTTTCCTTTTGTTTCTTCTGCTTTTGAAGTCATTTCTACGAATCCATTGCCAAATACATGGTCATGAAATTTTGCCCCTCTTTTCTTATAAGAGTTTTATGATTTTAGACATTATATTTAGGTTATTGATCCATTTTGAGTTAACTTTTGCATATGATGTAAGGTAGAGGCTCCAACTTCATTCTTCTGCATGTGAATATCCAGTCGTTCCTGCACCATTTGTTAAAGAAACTATTCTTTACCCACTGAGAGTCTAGCACCTGTGTGGAAAATCAATTGTCTATAGACATAGACAATTGATTGAAGACAGGAGGATTGAAGACAACGATTGATAGTGTGTAGAACCACAACTGATTTTTGTAGGTTGATCTTCTATCCTGAAAATTTGCTGAACTCATTTATTAGTTCTAGTAGTTTTCTTGTGGATTCTTTGGGATTTTCTGTATATAAGATCCTATCTTAAAATGGATAACCAACAAGGACCAACTGTATAGCACAGGGAACTCTGCTCAATGTTATGTGGCAGCCTGGATGGGGGTGGAGTTTAGGGGAGGATGGATCCTGAGTCCCTTTGCTGGTCACCTGAAACTATCACAACATTGGTAATTGGCTATACCCCAATACACAATAAAAAGTTTTTAAAACGACCCTATCATCTACAAACAGACTTTTCTTCTTTTCTGACTTGGAGGCCTTTTATTGTCTGATCTTTCAGGCTAGAACTTCCAACACAGTGTGGATGGCAGTGGTGATAGCAGGCATCCTGTCTTCTTCCTGATGCAAGGGGAAAAACTTTCACTCTTTCACCATTGAGTGTGATGTTAGGTGTGGCTTCTTCATAAATGCCTTTTATCATGTCGGGAAAGTTCCTGCCTTTTACTACTTCTCTGATTGTTATCATGAAAGAGTGTTGGATTTTGTAAGAAAAATTTTTTTCTGCATCAATTGAGATAAGCATGCACTTTTTACCCTTGATGCTATTAACGTGGTATATTGTACTGACTAATTTTCATTGTCGCATTACTCTTGCAATTTTAGAAAAATTCCCACTTGGTCATGGTGTATGATCCTTATAATATGCTGTTGGATTTAGTTTTCTGGTATTTTATTGAGGATTTTTGCATCTATATCCATGAGGAATATTGGTCTGTAGTTTTCTTTTCTTGTAGTGTCTTTGGTATCAGTGTAATACTGGCCTCATAGAATGAATTAGAATGTGTTCCTTCCCCCTCAATTTCTTTAGAAAAGGTTGAGAAGGATTGGCGTTAATTCTTCTTCAAATGTTAACTTTTAAAAGTTAGAAAAGGAAGGAACAGGTCCCAACTCATCCTACAAAGCTATTATTACTCTGTGGGAAAAAAAGAAAGACATGACAAGAACAGACAAATTCCTTAAAACATAGATGCAAAAATTCTCAAAAACTAGTAAATCAATAGTTAATTTAATATCCAAAATTTAATAATGTCTTTATTATGTAAAGGTAGATTCCCTCTATGCCCATTTTATGGAGTTTTTTTAATCATAAATGGGTGTTGAATTTTATCAAAAGCTTTTTCTGCAGCTACTGAAATGATCATATGATTTTTATTCTTCAATTTGTTGATGTGGTGGATCACATTGATTGATTTGTGTATATTGAGAAATCTTTGCATCTCTGGGGTAAATCCCACTTGATGGTGGTGTAAAATCCTTTTAATGTGTTGTTGGATTCTGTTTGCTAATATTTTGCTGAGGATTTTTGCATATATGTTAATCAGAGATATTGGCCTATAATTTTCTTTTTTTGTTTTTTGGTGATATCTTTGCCTGATTTTGATTTCAGGGTGATGGTAGCCTCATAAAATGAACTTAAGAGTGTTCTTCCCTCTGCAATTTTTTGAGTTTGAGAAAAATAGATGTTAGCTCATCCCTGTGAGGCTATCAAGCCCTGGAAGATTTTAATCACTATTTGTGATTAAATAATTCACAAGTTTTAATTTTGTTCCTTGTGATCTGTCTGTTCATATTTTCTATTTCTTCCTGATTAAGTTTTGAAAAGTTGTACTTTGCTAAGAATTTATCCATTGCTTCCAGGTTGTCCATTTTATTGGTGTGTAATTGCTTTCTTTTATGATCCATTGTATTTCTGCAGTGTCAGTTTAACTTCTTTTTCATTTCTAATTTTACTGATTTGAGTCCTCTCTCTTATTTCTTGATGAGTCTAACTAAAAGTTTATCAATTTTTTTTATCTTCTCAATAAACAAGCTTTTATTTTATTTGATTTTTGCTATCATTTTCTTTATTTCTATTTCATTTATTTTTCTCTGATATTTATGTTTTATTTCCTTCTACTAGCTTTGGGTTTTGTTTGTTCTTTGTCTTGTTGCTTTAGGTGTAAGAGTAGTTTGTTTGAGATTTTTCTTTTTCCTTGAAGCAGGACTGTATTGCTATAAACATTTTACTTAGAAATGTTTTGCTGCATCCCATAGGTTAGCTGCATTCCATAAATTTAAAGTAGTCGCGGCTGATATAAGCTAGTCTAAACTGAACTAAACTGATCTAAGCCAGTTCAAACCAGCCTAAAATCAAAATTGGTCTAAATCAGATCAAACCAGCCTAGACCAAATCAGACCAGCCGAATCCAGATCAAACCAGTCTAAACTGGACCAGACTGGTGTAAGTCAGTTCAGACTGGTCTAAACCAGTCCAAACAGATCTCCGCCTGGGACTCTGGTTGATATGTGTTTGCTTCAGTCAACAATAGTGTCAATTTGTCCCTTGACAGAGGGGCTGCCCATGCTGCCTTGGTCAGCTTCCCCTCACAGACAGCTTCCTGTCATTTCATCCTTGACTCTGCATGTTCCCTTGCCTCACTGAGATGTCCAACATGTCACAGTCACTGTTGTTCCTCACCGGGAAGTGGACAACTTCTTCCTGGCAGTGAGAATCTCTGGAGGGGTGAGTTGTGTGGACAGCTTCAACCTTAACACCGCAGCAATAAGCAGGACTTGGCCAGCACTGCCATGTAATCAGGGTGGGCAGAGTGGGTGAAGATATTTGAGACCAGGAAAGTTGTGCACAGTACAGCCACAAGATGAGGGGACCGTGAGGTTCCCTAGGGGTCCAACATCCCGAGAGAAGGCTGTAGCATTGGAGAAGGGAGAGACTTTGAAGCAGATGGAGAGAAATGTGAAAAGTGGGTCTTGAGTGTGAATCAAGCGTAGTGAAGGCCATCTAAGAGGAAAGCAAGTTCAGGAAAGAAGAGCA